TGATGAGAGGTAAAATAATCTCTTTCTCATCACATAAGAAAAAAACGGAAAACAAACGTATTCAGGAGTTAGAAGAAATCATTAAGTCTTTAGAGGCATCCACAGAAGAAGAGTTAATGAGCAAATTACGTAAAGCTAAATTAGAACTTCATGTAATCATTGACAAAAAGACACAATTTTTAGCACAAAGACTAAGAATAGAAAACTTTGAACATAGTAACAAATCAGGTAAATTGTTGGCTAGCCAGTTAAAAATTTATAAAGAGAAAACAACCATATCTGCTGCTAAAGACTCAACCGGGAATATAGTTTATGACCCTGAAAGCATAAACAACACTTTCAGAGACTTTTACCAAACTTTGTACCACAGATAAACCCATCAGATAATGAGATCAATGAGTTCCTTGATAGGATAACACTTCCTAAGTCAGGGATTCCCAAAGTGTGGAGCGCACACCCAGGGGTGCCGCTAGGGGGTGCGCGCACCCCCAGGGGTGCCGCTAGGGGGTGCGCGAGGTGAAGAGTGTAATGGCTGCGGAGTTCAGAGAAGTCTGTCACATGTCACCATTAGCGTAGAAACTCATTTGTGGGTGGGCTTAAGAAAAAGTAAGTGGGCACAATAAATGTAATTGAAAACAAGTATATTTTCGCGCGCGCGTGTCCTCCACATGTGCCCTAGCTTATAATAACAATGCGCCGAGCTTCAGCACTCTGGCCTGCGCACACCAATGTGTTCCGTATTTGATCATTTTTAACGGTGTTGGAGAAATCTGACGGTGGCGAGTCATTCTGGCAGATTGTAATTAACACCCTGTCTCATGCAGGTGTTCTGACATTGTAAACCTCACACACAGAACATTGTGGATGTAACTAAATAACAAGAAATGATTCCCATTCAGGCTATTGACAGCGCGCTGAAGATCTGAAGTTCAGAGTGCATCTGTCAGAGGTCAGACGCGTTCCAGCGGAACCACAGCTCACAGGTGCACATGTGAGCACATCTGGGCTGGGCAGAAGTAATTTTACAACATTGGTTTAAATAGCGCCAATAACGAGACGCGGTGACTGAAGTGGCTGTGCCGCGCGCGTGTGCGCACACACACACACAGAATCAATAAGCGTGCACGCTGCTTTAACTCCGGCGCGCCGTCAGACTGAAGGCAGAAATGAACGCTGCCTCCACCGTGATAAAAACTTTTAAGAGGTTATTTTTCATTCAAGGTCAAATTAAGATATTAGCTTCTGGGATGAGTCGGGTCCGCTACAGCCAGTGACTCCTCATGAACCTGACCACAAGTCCTGTTACTGCAGCATTTGTTATTCCAGTCCGCGTGGCAGCGGATCGCAGTTTCAGCTACACCATAAAACAGCAATAAGTCGGTCTGAGGTAAAAGTGAACATCATGGCTATATCTTGTCCCCTATTGACATTTGATTACGCACAAGTAGGTGATCAGCTCAGGTTTATGCAGAACAGAAGGAAGGAGAGCACTCTGGCCGCACAGGTTAAACGTTCCTACTTTAAGAAAACCGTTAAATTGCATTGTTTATGTGCTACCTGGGCACTCTAAATATTTATTTAAAATGAAATCAAAGGAAATTGTGATGTTATCGAATGTTGGCTGCCCGGGTACTGAATGGCTGCTCAGGACAATCCAGACTTTTCTCATGCATCGTTCCACAAATGTGGAATGACCTTCCTAACACTACCAGAACTGCGGCTTCCTTCTCTATTTTCAAGAAACTCCTGAAGACCCTGCTCTTCAGAGAGCATCTTCTTAACTAGCACCTTGTCTGCACCCGTCCCTCCTCTCTACTGTCCACTCCTTGTTCCCTCCTCTCCATGACTGATGTCAATTTGTTGTTGCTACTATTGTTGTTAGCCTCAAGGGCAAAATGCCGATTATCACTTGTAAGTCGCTTTGGACAAAAGCGTCTGCTAAATACATAAACATAAACATACTATTTAAAAAACTGAAAGTGATGGGGAATTTTTTTAACCCTGTCTGTTTAGCTTGACATCTGATAAATATATATATATATATATATATATATATATATATATCCATGCCCTGATGTGGGGACTGGGGGGGTGGGGGGGGGGGGTGCGTCAACATGGTCGGGACATAGAAGGGGGTGCGCGGCTAAATAAGTTTGGGAACCACTGTCCTAAATTATCAGACAGCCAAGTTACAGTCCTGGACTCACCACTAACATCAGTGGAGCTCCAGGAAGCCCTTAAATCAATGATGAATAGGAAAGCTCCAGGTCCAGATGGGTTTCCAGCAGAGTTCTACAAAGAATTCTGGATCATTCTGGCTCCAATATTTTTCAGAATGGTGAGGGATAACGAAGAGAGCGGCAGATTAAAGCCAAACATGAATTCAGCCAATATTAGTCTCTTGTTAAAACCAGGCAAAGACCCTTCATTTCCAACCAGCTATCGCCCAATTTCCCTTATTAATGTTGATCTCAAAATAATTTGTAAAGCCCTGGCAAAAAGATTAGAGAAGGTAACCCCCTTCATAATACACCCTGACCAAACTGGTTTCATTAAGGATTGTTTCATCCACAAACTCGAGTAGATTACTTAATTTTATAGATTTCTCTTACAGTAGAAACATAGAAACTAGTATATTATCTCTAGATGCAGAAAAAGCTTTTGATAGAGTTAACTGGAAGTTCTTATTTGCAACTTTACATAAATTTGGGTTTGGGAACTTCTTCATAAACATGCTACAAACATTATACAGTTCACTAACTGCACGTGTCAGGACGAACAACCAAATATCAGCTAGCTTCTGTCTTCAGAGGGGGACCAGGCAGGGATGCCCACTATCCCCCTCACTGTTTGCTATCTTTATTGAACCACTAGCGGCAGCAATTAGGCAAACAACAGATATTAAAGGGATAAAGTGTAAGAAAATAGAACATAAGATCAGTCTTTATGCAGATGATGTTTTACTCTTTTTCCAGAATTCTCAATCATCTCTCTCTCATTCAATAGAACTGATAAACTTTTTCAAAAGTTTCAGATTACTCAATAAACTGGTTAAAATCCACAGTCCTACCAATTAATTTCTCTTTTGTCAATTTACTTAATACACAATTGGAGTCAGGGAATATCACATACCTGGGAATTAATGTCTCTCCCAAGTTAGCAGATCTAACAAATTTAAATTACATCCCACTTTTAAAGAAAGTGGAAGATGATCTTGCAAGATGGAAATCCTTACCAATATCACTCATGGGGAGAGTTGCTACAATTAAAATGATGGTCTTACCCAGAATAAATTACTTATTTTCAATGATCCCAAACAAACCACCAGCTGACTGGTTTAGATCTCTGGACTCCTCAATTACCAAATTCCTTTGGCAGGATAAACCTTCACGAATTAGCTTAAATACGTTTCAGAAGACCAAAGAAAGAGGAGGACTGGATCTACCCAACTTTTATTATTATATCTTAGCCAACAGGCTGCAATATATACCAAGATGGTTGCAAGATAACCCACTAGGTGAGTCCTGGTTAGATATAGAACAGACACTTTGCAATACGATAGAGCTTTCAGACGTATAATTTATTAGCTCAAGCATAAGAAAACATGAAGGCTTCAAAAGTATTAGTATCAGCACCTCTCTGGCAGCATGGTGGGAGTATCTTAAAATGACAGAGTCTTCACTAGTACCATGCAGACGCACACCTATCTGGAATAATCCTGATATTTTGCAAATTAATAAAATGATGAACCTCCCGGACTGGAAAAATAAAGGAATCCTATACCTGGAACACATATATGAAGGACTGGACTTCATCCCATTTAATAGAATAGACTCCCAATTTGGAATAGATAAGAATAGTTTTTTAGAATACCACCAAATTAAATCTGTAGTCAAGCGAAAATTTAAGCTCAATAAAATAGAATTACAAACACCACCAAGGGTATTAGACTTCTATAATCTCAAATCCCCCAAACTACTGTCTAAAGTATATAAGACACTGTCCAAAATAGACGATAGAATAGCAATCCCTATTGAAAAATGGGAGGTGGATCAATTGGGCCATTCCCATCTGTACCGGGTCGGCCCGGGCCGGGTAGCGTAGGTTGTTTACATATCTGGGTGGCCTGGTATTTTTCCGAGCCAACCAAGGCTCATTCTCAGCCCTCTTCTTGAGGGGGTCTGCTTCAGGCTGACCAGGGCCAACACACCCACTGCTGACAGCAAATTCACACCTTCCAATAGAGCAAGCCTCTGATTGGTGGGTAGAATCAGCCCAAATGGGCTTAAGGCAAGGATGTGTGGAATCAACCGGGCCAGGCTGGGGCCGACTGGGGCTACCCGGCCCTTGCCGACCCGGTACAGACGGGAATGGCCCATATCAGTCAGCTTTGACCAGAACTTCTGGTCCCAAACCCAGACACCATATTACAAGAGGCTGTTGCACTGGCTTTACTGTCCAATTCAAATATGTCCACTAGACATTTTCTCTCTCCTGAGGAGACACATTAGCTTTGCATTAGCCTGCTAGTTAACAGCTACATGTTATGGTGTCCGAATACCCGCCTGCCTTAAATTGTGTGGCGTTATGGTGCTGTTGTCCAAGAAACTTAAAAGTATTGATGTAAAAGGACTTGTTGAAATTTAAATAAAGCTACTGTTGTTCCGTCTCTCAGGACGGGTTTCAAAAGTCATATTTGTTTTTTTTGTTGTTATTTTTAAGCATAAATCCAATCTTTTTCACCTGATCACAGACTCTTTGAAAATTATGAAATCTGGCCTAATTTCAGATTAAGTGATCGGATCGGAGCCTCCCTAACCTCCACCCAAAACTGGTTCAGTGCAGATCCAGTTCTGATGAAGCACAGCAACGTATGTCCAAATAGCAAGGCACAGCAGGGGCCATGCACCTGTGCAGCTGTGATGATGTCATCCAGACCTGAGTAATAAAAAGAGATGAAACACTGGAGCAGCATACAGTAAACCAAAATATTTTCTCACCATGAAACCCATCATGACTACAGAGGTCAGGTAGGCTGGAAGTCTGTCTGTGCACGTCAACTTCACTTTCTCCTCCTGGAGAACACACACACATTAGACAACATAAATGTCTGCAGAACTATAGCTCCTTCGGAGCAGAGTGTGAGCCACGGCTGGTGAGCCGGGGACACGCTGTGTATGCTGTGCGTAAACACGGATTACCAGCCAAAGGAGACCCATGTCTAAAGTCAACATTTGAGAAGAAGTCCATCTCTGAAATGCGTGGAGAAATACATCGCTGTTAGTAATGTGTTTGTGGAGATCTAGTAAACAATGCTGATTTAGCCGCTAGCTAGCTGACGAGCACTGGAGTGTGTTAGGATAGACGGCAGGCTGCAGGAACGAACATAACAAAGGCACAAAAGAGAGGAGACGAGTTGAAGGACTTTGGAACTGACACGTTGGTACCGGATCGGGAGTTCTGGTACAAAGAAAAGACGAATGAGCAACTTGAGGTGAGTTAGGGAGTCAGGGGACACACCACTCGGGAGGATGGTTTCCTAGTGTTGGACATGATGACAACCTATCAAACTTCATGTCTTTCGATTTAATTGTTCATTATTCAAACTAGCAAGTACAGCAACGGTGTAGCTAGTCTCTTCTACTTCTTAGTTGAATTAGCAGACACCATCCTTCCAGGGCGCACTGCTGCCCTCTGCTGGTTCTTTGAGGTTAGTCATAGTCCAAACGCACAAAGCGGGGCTCGTATGTCCCTAAACAGCTACTGTATTTCAAGATGGTGGATAGAGCGTCGACCACGGTTTATGTATGTAAAAATGTAAAATTTCAAGCTGAGAGCAATATTTAGAATTAATGTTGGTGAGAAATATTCAAAAAGGACAAGTTTGAGAACTGGAAACACTGGATTTATAGTGACAGGTAAAAATATTACACACTGGGGCTTTAACATCATTTGTCAGATGCTAATCAACCAACTGCTGATGAAGAACTGAAACCATCTACTGGGTTTTAGACTTCCTGATGAGTAGACCAGTCCGTGAAGACCTTTCATGCCTCCTATTTCATCATTGTCCTCAACACAGGGGACCCTCCAGGATGTGTCCTGAGCCCCCTCCTGGACTGACTGTACAGAAAGATATTCTGGAGCTCATGTTGTGAAGTTTGCAGATGGCTCTTGTTGGTTTGATATCCAATGATGAGTCCATGTAGGGGGGAGGAACCATCAGTGGAGTGAAAAACCTCCAGTCAACTTCATCAATGGAGAAGCTGCGGAGATGGTGAAACATCTAAATACTTGGGCCACATGACCTTATTTGGACTACTACACAAATAACCCCTAACTTCACGTTGGTCTATTCAGGTTCTACCCATGTAGATGTCATTCACTCATTTAGACACATAAACCATGTTGTTTTGTCTGTTTTTGGGGGCAGCAGTAGCTCAACAGGTTGAGCGGGTTGTCCAGTAATAAGAAGGTTGCAGGTTCGGTCCCGGCTCCGGACAGAGAATTCTGCTGTTGTGTGCCTGCTGGTGGTGGTCGGAGGGACCGGTGGCGCCTGTGCTCAGCAGCCTCGCCTCTGCCAGCGTGCCCCAGGGCAGCTGTGGCTACAGCTCATCACCATCAGTGTGTGAATGGATGAATGATACACTGTAGTGTAACGCACTTTGTTCTTACTCTGGGAGGCGCTATACAAATGCGGGTCATTTATCATTTTTACCAAACATTTATTTTGTGATTGTGGTCTGTGTTTCAACAGTGTGTGTTTTTGTATGTTTCAATGGCTGGTTGACAGAAAGCACTATGGTCTGGATTAATGGGAGGAAAAGTGATAAATTATAGCATGAACAAATCTTTTAACCATTGATTCTGATCTGGATCCTTGGAAGTTTATTCTTTCCTCTTTTTGTTTTCTCTTCAGTTTCTAAAAGATGTGTTTGATCTGCTGGAAGTTTGATTTCTCTTGTTGCTCCATCAGGTCAGTCACAGCACCAAACAGGAGTGAAACAGGTGTGGCATCAGTTTTACCTTCGGTAGCGACTGGTCCTGCTTCATTGCTTTCTGCATTACCCGGAACTCATACTCTGCACGGTTGTGGTCCTGCAGAAGAAACCAGTTAAATACACACTGCAGTTCATCTCACAGGTTATTGAGCAAGCCATCAGACCTCAATGCAGGTGGCAAAGTGGAGGACAGAAAAGCAGAAGAGCTTCACGGGTTAAGCTTTGTGTTAAAATAGCAGCAGGAAGTGTGTAGCACCGCACCATGAAAGGATTGAGTGGAGTCACACCAGAACCAGGCAGACATACGGTGTTAGATATCAGCTCCACCCTGGTACGTTTATTTAAAAGAGGTGGGGGTTGAGCACCAAAGGACCAGCGCTGCTGAAGCTGTCAAAACACTGAGCTGCTAGGGCAGCCCACCCAAGTCGATTGGTCCCAGTCATGTGACCCGATGCTGTGCTTGAAAAACAGATTAGTACCTACACGGGGTAGATAGCTGCTTCTCTAATTCTTGCCAATTTTTACATTAATAATTTTATCATGAGTGTTTTATTACTTCCAATATTTGCTTATCTCTTAATTTTTTTTCTTTCTTACCATCTGCACCTAATACCGCAGCGATTTCCTAATGTTGTGACTTGGCACACATATGGCAATAAAACCTTCTGATTCTGATCAGAGCTGAGAAACTGCAGAACCAGATCGCCAGATTTCAGTAGAGACTCAATTCAACCACGCCGTCACCTCTTTAATTTAACTTCCATTAAAATAATGTAGTTCTTGCAGAACAAACCTTCCATTCAAATCTAGATGGACAGAATGTCTTCCTGGTTCCGAGTTCAGCCTGGTTCTATAAAGTCAGATTCATTCAAAGGTTCCATATCATGTTAATTTAAACCTTTGGGAACAAAGGTAGGAACAGTTTATGATCAAATATTACCGTTGGCACTAGTGAGATGTTGTCAGCCTGAATTTAAACCCAGAAATAAAACTTTGTTTCACATAAACTCTGACAACTCTGACACATAAACCCACTCTGACAAAACACGTCTACGTTAGAAGAAAGTAAAATAAACAGATTTGTCCTCATTTTTAAATTGTTTACCAATAAATACTGGCAAGTGCAGCTAAAGAGGAATAAAAAAAGTTGCTGCTTAGACCAGGATGTGAACCTGCACAAAAATTGCATGCCAGCCCACTAACCACTGGACTATCGAGTCTGCTACATGACCTCAGTTGCCTAAGCCACATATCCTGCGCTGGCCAGAGGAAAGAAGTGCCAGACCAGACCCTAGCATCCGGGAGAGGAGCAGGGCCAGATGATGAGACTAGTTTCCATTGATTCTTTACAAGATTTTCAAAGTACAGTGATCCCTCGTTTATCGCGGTAGATGCGTTCCAGACCTGGCCGCGATAGGTGAAAATCCGCGAAGTAGGGACACCATATTTACAGTATTTATTTAACAGGTACGGATTCAGTATTCAGACTTTTAAAACCCTCCCTTTACATAGAAAAATTTTTTTTCTTGTTTTTTTTTATAGTTTTATTACAAAAAGTGCATTTTATGATGAAACTGATGAAAAAAAAACAGGAATTTGAGCGCAGCTGATCCTCATCAGCCTGATCAGCGGGATGGCTTTAAAAGGAGGACGGTTATCCATTTTCGACGCTGGATGAATAACTACTGCCTGGTAGTCTCTAGCTCCTAGTAACTTTGAAACCTCGTCTTGTCTAGTACCTTTGGGAACTCGTTTTAATCTGAACTCGTTGTGTTTTGATACCTACCTTCAGACTCGCTTCTCCTCCGGATTCGCTCCCGTCTTGGAGACTTCTGGATACTCACCAGTTTGCTGCCGTTGCCGCTTCTGAGTTTACCCTCCGCTGGATCACCAGTGCGCCCTCAGTTCTCCTCATCATTAAAGAAATAAAATTATTGTTTATCTTTTACCTCGACTCGAGTCCGATTCTGTATGTCTTGGGTTAGACACTTACCCCAAAACATGACAGAAAAATACCGCGAATCGGTGAAAAATACCGCGAAACTGCGAATTTCCCTTGAATAAGGCTCCAAAGAAAAAATCTGTGAAGTCGTGAATCCGCGATAAACGAACCGCGAAGTAGCGAGGGATCACTGTAAAACTAAATTAGCAGCTGAAACAGGAAAATGATTGAATGCAGCCCAAAACTAAAAGGTTGACCTTTACTTGTGTGGACTTTTCCTTTCTGACCTGGTTAATGGGTTCTTCTGTTAAACTGTCTAGGAGAACTGGGCTCAGGAGTTCCATGCTTGTGGACAAGCATGTTCCTACAACTAGTGCATTCAACCAAACAAGGCTGAAGGTGAAAGCTGTGAGGCCGCAGAGCGTGGAGTTAGGCTGCTTGCTGCCACGGCAACAGGATGGACCTCAGAACATAGGAGCTGCAGGAAAATGTTAAACAGCTAAAACAAGGAGGAGGAGCTGAGGCAGGTTGTTAACACCTGAGGGAGAAAGGCTGTTAGATCAACAGAATAGGAAATAAAACAAATGGATCCAAACCTTATGTTCTTCCTGTGAAAGACAATAAACACAGACAGGATGTCAGAATGGAGTTGAACGTCTCTAAAGTGAAACAGCGTCAACAAAAACAGCTGCGGTGTTTCTGTGGTCTCCCTCAGAGATCGAGCGTGACTACAGCCTCACTTCGGAGTCGGCCGGCTGCCCTGGGAGATGTGAACAGCCAGCCGCCTGCTCCAACTGTTCCCGGCAGGAGACAGGAGAAGCTGGGCACCCGCTCAAGTGTCTTATGCAGATCCACTAACATGTTTGACCAAGCAGTTAAATGTGTGTGGAGCAGCATTCCCCCCCCATCCAACCAGCAAAATAAAGTACAGAAATATACTGCTAGGGATGTGCCGTATACTCGTTTCACCCGAGTATCTGGTACGGATAAAGCATTTTTGACGAATACGAGCATGAAACAAGTAAAACTCGTAAATATCTGTAATTGTGATGAAGGAAAATATTCATTGGGTAACTGACTGTCTTCACGCTCTGTTATTGGCCAGTCACATAGAGCGCCCGCCCCTCCCTACACACACATCTTTGCAGCCGGGAGCGCAGTCCGTCCGGCCCATGCATGCATGCACGCACGCACGCACACACACACATGCACGCACACACACACACACACACACACACACACACACACACACACACACACACACACACACACACACACACACACACACACACACAGAGACAGACAGACAGACAGACAGACAGACAAACAGTAACAGATCTCGCTGTACTTGCTACACTGTTGCTCACGTTTCCTCAGAACTCCCTAGGTTTTCTTCAGCTCACCTCTTTTTCGGTTTAATATTCAAAGTTACTTTTTTCGTAACTTACATGGTGCATTTGACGAGACAGAGCTGACATGCTGCATCGGACAATGCTTCCGCTCCGGTCGTTTTTTTTAACTCCCTCTCCCTCCCTCTCACACAGACTCATGCCTTAATCAACATTGTTTTGTTTAATTGTGTGTGGGAAAAATGTTAAGAACGTTAAGAAAAAATGAGTGTCTGGTTCTAGTATTTCATATTTCCTAGTTCCTACTGCATAAGTTCAGATGTATTAATTCATGCACTTAAATATTAATGTTCTGATTTTATTGAAACACGTGTTCTGTAATAGTTTCTTTACTATTGTGATCAAAAATATTTAATCTCAATTCTGAGGCTGCTCTGTAAATAGTTTTCAAATTAACAATACACAACTGCTGATCATTCCATATCAATTTCAGACTTGAAATAATGCATTGATGTAAACCACACCCACTTCCGGTTTACACCACGCCCACTGCGAGTACAGATACAGATAATTTAGATGGTTTAACAGATACGGATAGTGGTGTACTCGCTCGTCCCTAATACTTACAGATAAAAAGAAGCAGAAACTGCTTGGATGGTCTGTTTAGTAACCACAGCTTGTCCTTTTGTCCAACTAATCCCATGATTAACATCCAAACACGAACACAAACACACAGACAAAACTAAAGTTCAGAGAGTCAAAATGGCTCATTAATGTGAGGTCGAGGCCCAGGCTGAGGCCTTTCTTTGGAGCTAGCTTTGAAGTCACATGCCTCTGATGCTCATTATTCAGAATTTTAAGCATTTAATACGCTTAAACAAAAGAGAAACAAAAAAAAAATCACCCCCTCAGAGTTGTCATGAGTGTAAACTAGATCTATTAAACCTAAAATATGTTTTTGTGACCGGCTGTAAACATGTTTATTCCTAATGTAAAATTAGCATTCTTAGCATGGGAGTCGATGAGGATGTGCTCACTTCTGACACACCATCTGATGAGGGTGGAACTGCAATTTTTGCCACTCTCTTGCTTGCTTCATATCCACAACTGAATTATGGGGGCTTTATCTAAAATACATGGGAGCAGGTCTAAGTCTCTGGGTGAAGCCATAATTAATGCATGTGTCCTTCAACGGAAGCCCGTGTGGACATGATGCTTTTGCTGATTTGTAACAAATGGTTACAAAACTTTCATCATTAATAAACATTGTTGCTTTACATATTTACCTCTTCACTTGTTGCCAGTGATAAAATGGTATCTGATGTTATTGTTATTTTGCTGGAGGTTGCACTCCCTGGGATTTTTTACCCAAATGACCATCCGTTGGTAAGGTCTTACTTGAACACAAAAATAATGCTTGCTTGCAAATATTTAGGTATGTACTACCCCCTATAGCCAGTGAAAATGCACATGGTCTTTTTAATGATTCGAAACATTCAGAAGACGATAAGGACCATGTTTTAATGAATAGCTCCACTAGGGAAAAGGTCTGGAGCGGTGAAGTTGTGTTTATAACAAGTGGTCAGAGGTTAAACATCCTAGTGCAGGGCTATTCAATTCTGGACCTCGAGGACCGGCAGCCAGCACGTTTTGGCTTTAAACCTGTTTCAACACAGCAGATTTAAATCAACAGGTGATTGACAGGCTTCTTCAGAGCCTGATGAGCTGCTGCACATGTGATTCAACCACCAAATCTAGTCTGTTGGACTAGACAAACCACTGAAATGTGCTGGATACCGGCCCTCAAGGCCCGGAGTGAAGAGCTACCCCTGTTCTAGTGGTTCGGTTAACAACAGACCACCAGTCCAGTTTTTACTAATCTAACTAAACCTCTTTGTGGCGTTCATTCAGTGTTTCTTATCTGATTCTATTATTTTTGTAATAGAGCTTGTATCTTTGGATGAAGGGACTACTGATGAGCTTTACCCCATGATTCAAGTCCCCACAAATGACGGGTCCCATCAATATGTGTTCAGACCCTGGTCCCTTAAGGATGCAAGAGAGGTCGCTGAGCAGATCACACCTCACACCGATGATCCAGATAAATGGGTTTCAGACATGATGGAGGTGATCCACTCCTATCGCCTAAACGGTCAAGAATTAGGACAGCTGGCTCAAGCGAGCCTTCAAAAACATTGGCACAGAGTCCGAGGCCAATTCACAGGGAGATGCCCTAACTGAGCTGTGGCTCTCTATGATGAGGATCAGGGAACTGGAGAAATAATTGGAGATTTAAAGACCCAGTTTGATATTCTGACAACAAATGTAAAACAATACTTCATGAAAATTCCTAAATTAACCCAGTTGGCCTCAATTAAACAAAAGCCTGATGAATCTGTGGATGATTTCCGTTCCAGATACCAAACTAAATTCAACATCCACAGTGCCTTCACACCCGATACTAACATAGACGGTCCATACATGAGACATTTATGCTCTGACTTGTTGAAAGGTTTCCTGCCTGCAATTACTGCAAGGATTAAAACTCACTTCATTTACTGGGAAACCTGCAGCGTTGAGGACCTGATGATAAATGCCAGACAAGCAGAAAAGGTTCTCCAGAGCAAAGATAAAAAGCCAAAACCACCTAAATCAGGCCCACAGGTCTTCCTAGAGGAAACTGAGGAAGAAGCTGTTTATTATCAGCAGGGTAACAACAGGGGAATTTTTAGTCACCAAGGGAGTGGTTGTAACAACAACCTGAGACAGTGGACCTCTCTGGACCGCTCACAGCCACCCGTTTTTTGGACTTGTGGAGGTCAAGGTCACCTCTCACGTGATTGTCCCTCCAATTCAGACGGCCCAAGTAACAGACAACCCAACAGGGGTCCTAAAAGAGGCAGGGGCTTCCAGTCACAGGGGAGCCAACCTAGCCGTGAGCATGTCAGTCACCAGCCTGATCACACCCGATTCAGACAGGAGTGAAGGGATGACTTTCAGAAATGGCTAGCGGCTGGTTCTGATGCCTGGAAGGAAGAAAATAATGTAGTTGATTGTTGTGGAGCTTGGGAACTGCTTAATGTCCTAAAAGAAAAGCCTTTTATCAAACTTAATGTTGAAGGACAGAGTGTGGAGTTCTTGTGTGATTCTGGTGCATGTCGAATGGTTATTTCTTCCGGTGTGAAATTACCCAGGTCTCAGAACAGCAAATTGGTTAAATCTGCTGATGGAGCCACCACTCGCTCATCTCTGTCTAAACCTGTTTTGGTGGGTGATCCGGTGACAGGATTGGAAAAAAGAATCTCCCTGGTCATAGCACCTGACTGCCCTTTAAATCTTCTGGGCAGAGACCTCATGTCACAACTAAAGATCTCTACTGTCCCGATACAAGATGGCATGAGGGCAGTTCGTGTGGCTGATGATTGTTGTTATCTCCACGACCCCACAGGTGTCTATTATTCATTGCAAATTCCCTTTGATGTAAATCTAACAGAAACAAAGCTCGTTATGAGAACAGTGCGGCCAGTGCTCACTGACAGCCAAAGACAAGATGCCTCGTAACAACTCCATGTGACAATGGCCCTCAGGCCAGGTCCTGATTCATCATATCAGGCCTCCTTTCTTCCTATGTCACCTGTTGTGTTGACCACCTCCTATCTGATAACAAACGGAGAGTCAGATTCTGCAGCTTCTGTGCCACTGCCAACCAACATGAAAGCTTTTCATGATTTGCCCACTGCTCCACAGATTTCTCTGACCAAAAGCAGCTCCTCATGCTGGAAAGATTTGGGCTATATGGTCAACACTGCATGTAATGCCACAGATTTTGTCCCAGTACAACCTAATAAAGATGGCCAATGACAGTACAGTGCAAGCACAGGTCTCTATCACTTTCCTTTGCTTGTTCCACTCCATTGTGTGACTGCTGTTAACCCTTTGCAGGGACTGACTGACTGTGTTGTTGACAGATGAGGAGGAGGAGCAACTTAAACAGATCCCTGAAACACTTTGGTCCACAGGCCCGACTGATGTCGGCCTTTTGAACTCAATCCCACCTGTTCAGATTAAATGAAAATCCCAGTTTAGGCCCAGAGTTAAACAGTACCCTTTGTCCCCTGAGGCAGAGAAAGGCATTGAACCAGTGATATCAGAACTCCTGGAAGCTGGAGTTATCAGACTTTGTCCTGATTCTCCATGTAATACGCCCATCTGGCCTATAAAAAAGGCTGATGGAAAAGCTTGGCGTATGATACAAGATC